AAGTATCGAAGCACTTCTTCCCGCCACGCTGACAACCTGATTTTAGCACTGTGGAGATATTATTCTATAACTCGCCTTGTTCATATGGGCTTTCTCGTTTCTAACACATGACTTAATCCGGTATTTCCTTACAGCATACATTTCTTGTACACTCGTATCTAGCTGCAGTTCCTCTTCATTAATAAATAGCAACACGCACCAGGTTAACCGGTGCGATCATGCGTTTTGTGCAATTCAGCTCATCGAACGATTGCCTAATAATGATTTTCACTGCTTTGTACTTTGTGCAAAAGTAGTTGAAACGTTGAAAAAATAGTTAAAAATATCACGCACCGGCACTTCCGCAAAACTGCACCTTCTTGGCTTTCATAGTTTCTGAGATAATTTTCCCGCCAAAATTTTCACAGGGCCGTAGTTGATACCCAAGAGCGCAAGAACGCTGCATTTGAATTTGCAAGGTCGTACATGGGCTGAGGATCATTGCCGTAAAATTTCAGCCCCCTAGATTTTGTGGTCCCCGAGGTAATTTTCACGGGGTCGTAAGCGATATCCAAGGGTGCGGGAACACTGAATTTGAATTTTCAAGGTCGCACGTGGACAAGGGGTCATTACCTTAAAATTTCAGCTTCGTAGATTTTGTGGTTCCCAAGACAATAATTTATCCGCCAAAATTTTCATAAAATTTCAGCCTCCTCACTTTTTTTGGTCCCCGAGATAACAATTTTTCCCGCCAAAACTTTCCTGAGGCCGCGCATGAAACCTGAGTATGCGGAGGGAAGTGGGCTGAATAAAAATCTCCTGGGTCGAAGATGCGTAGGGGACATTACCTTAAAATTGTAGCTTCGCAGCTTACGCGGTTTTCAGGGCAATAATTTCCTCCACCAAAGCATTGGCGGAGTCATACGTAGTATTCGCGAGTAAGTGAAGGCCGCATTTGGTGCCCTAGGGGTAAATGGAAGCTGAATTCAAACTGGAAAGGTCGTACCCAACCGGGGGAAATTCTATTAAAGGATTTTGAGCTCCCTAGCTTCCGTGATTCCCGAGATAATTTTTCCCGCCAAAGCTTTTGCGGGGTCACACATGGTACCTGCGAGTAGGTGAAAGCCGAATTTAAGTTCACGGAGTTACATGTGGTCGGGGGACACTCTACCAAAATTTCAGCGTCCCAACTTTCGTGGTTCTCGAGATAATAATTTTTCCCGCCAAACCTTTTCGGGGTCATACGTGGTACCCGCAGGTAAGTGAAGGCCGTAATTAAGTTTGCGGGGTCAATTGTGGGCGGGGAACATTCTTGCAAAATTTCAGCGTCCCAGCTTTCGTGGTTCCCAAGATAATTATTTCCCCCACCAACACTTTGGAGGGGTCATACGTGGTACCCGCAGGTAACTGAAGGCCGGATTTAAGTTTGCAGGATCACATGTGGTCGGGGGACATTCTTGCAAAATTTCAGCGTCCCAGCTTTCGTGGTTCCCGAGTTGAAGTGCGGGACAAAACGCACTCGGACACACACACACACACACACACACGCACACACACACATACGCACAAACACACACAGACAACCCCGTAACAACATGCGTTTTGTATTGCTGTTACACAGCACAAAACGCATAAAAATGTGTTGCAACTTGCTGACACCTTCCACGCGTCACTCCACGGCTCTGCATCACCGCTTCTCCCCAGCAGGCATGGCGTTCCACGCTTCATTCCCATTATGTTTGCGTGTTTGTATGTATGTTTGTGTGTGTGTTTGCGTATGCTTGCGTGTTTGTGTGCATGTATGTGCTTGCGTGTTTGTGTGTGCGTGTTTGTATGTGCGTGCGTGTGTGTGTACATGTATGTGTGTGTGCATGTATGTGTGTGTTTATGTGCGTGTGTGATTTCCAATCATTGCATTTACTCGTAGTTCATAATTTTCCTTTTTTTTCACCTTGGTAACTCCCTTCCATTTTCATTTCCCATTGAATTTTCTCGCCTTTGTTGTCTCAATCTCCATACTTTTGAGACGAGTGCAGCTGTTGCTACTAATTTTAGTGGATAAATCCATGATTTCGCTTCTCATAATATTTGGTTCGCTCCGCTCTCCCTGCTCCTGGAAAAGTAATGAGATTAGAGAACGAATTTTTTCGCTGCATTTCTCCGTTCGTTCAGTGAATAAAGGAGACGAATGATTTTTTGTCGTATACGGAAGGGCAGATGACTCCAGGGGCCCGTACTTAGGATTTTTGTACTTCCCGCTTTCCTCGCACCGGGATTATTATTCCTCCCTCGAGTCCTTCTCTAAAATCTGATGGACACAAGATTTGTTGACGAGCAGTAGAACTAGTCTCTTGCGCATGATCTCATGGCTTTTCCGTCACAAGCATATCTCATCCATAAATTCACTACGTACAGCTTTTGTATATTTCAACTAGTGCAGCACGGAAGCACACTGGGGCAATGCTGTGTGCATGTGTGCTATGTTTTGTGCGTTTGAGCACATGTTTCAGTCCTGCGAAGGTTGGTTTTTGTGAGGAAATTCCCAACCGAACCTGAAATTAACCTTTGGAATGCTCTATTTATTTTAAAGTCTAAATTCGGACAAATTTTACAACTGCGAAACCAAAAACGGTTTAAAATTGAA